GAGCTGCTCTGCTGTTAAACTATGAGGCTGTTGAGCTTCTTCATGGTCCGTTAGCAAACAGCCCGAACCGGAACCTCCCCGTTACTTGGCCTAAGAATAAATTAAGGTAAAAACATTGTCCGCTAGAATGGATTAGAATGTTTAGATACTTAAATAGCACATTTTTATAAGAAAAATGTCCGAGAATATTGCCTACTAGCATAAGGGTTAGGGACCGAACCGACCGAGCCGCGTTTCCCCGAACATGGAAGCTGACGTGCAAAGAGCCCAATGACTTAGAGGCATGGTACATATCACTTTCACAAGCCCTGATTGAAATATTAAGTGTTAAATGATCATTTGAATACTAGCTGCAAATACATTTGGAGTTAAAATAAAGTCTTTTATCTGAAGAAAACTGAAGCAATTATTTTTTTACATCTACCGAACATGTTGTTTGAAATTCAGTCTAAATATTTGGGACGTCAGCATTCATGCCTGTCAGGATCACCTACTGCAGTTATCAATAGTTCAAATCAATATTATTTGTGATCTGCTGCAATTTAAAAGTAAACATGATTATCTTTGTTGCTGGAAGAACGCGCAATCTGCTGGAGGTCAGAGGTCACAGAGGTAAAGTTCACTATCTGGTTTTCAGAACCGTTGTACCCAGACTTTCATTCGGACATTCGTCTCTTTCTTCACATAAAACTGGATCATGTTTCCTTGAATAGTTTGTGATGCTAACAGACGGTTGATACTTTGTCCTGCGATCTCCTGCTTGTTTTGTCTCAGCTACACCTTATTGCATCGCGACACAACCTGCATGCTGTCGACAGCGGAGCTTTTCAGTAAATAACAATTATAGCAGCGAATGTTGAGTGATAGCTGTTTATTCAGGCATGTTTAATGTTGTTTTTCTTCTAGCTCCTGCTTCAGTAAAAACTTCAGTCCATTTCCTAGGAGAGCAGATGAGGATAATTAAAGCACAATGTTCTCTTAACTGGAGCAACTTCCTTCCTGCAGGGGGTGCCGGCTGAGCTGCTGCTGCCAGTAAGTCCATGTAGTCCTTCTGGAGATGATCCACTGGGTCTCTGTGATTGCTATAAAGACAGTTACTTGATGCATTCTGCTGACTTACTTTGAAAATTTGAACGGAGCTGAAATATAAACTGAACTTGACACGTTAACTGTTATTCACGGTGGCTGACAGGTGCAAATGCGCAGCAACAGAGAAAACATGCAAGCAAAAAAAGACGCAAACAAATGAAATGCAGCAAACAAAAGAAGAGACGTAAACAAAAAGTGCTGAAAACGGAAGTGCTCCAGACCACTAGGGGGAGTCGAACAAAAAACAGCTGTGTCCAATTTTAGGCTCTGCATCCTTTAAAACGGGTGTTCAGAAAAGCAGCAATGGCGGCAAAATTATTTGTGCTGTATTACACTTAAAATTACACAAAATGATTTTTTACAAAGTTTTTAGATGATAATGTAGATGTATAGATCTGAAATATCTGCTCAGTTCAACAATGAATCGCTTCATTACAAAGCAGGAGGGACTTTTGTTTGCGTCTCTTTTTTGTTTGCATGTTTTCTCTGTTGCTGCGCATTTGCACCTGTCGGCCACCGTAGTTATTGCTTCTTTGCTTTTTGGTGAATTGATGCTGTATAAATAAACTCAGTTGTTTTTGTGTTTGTGAAGGTGTGTCAGATGTAGAAAGCAGAACCAGTGTGTCGCCTAAATCAGCTTCTGGAGGAAAAGCCTGAGCTTCTTTTTCTACTTCATCTGTTCATTTTGATGCTGAAGCTGATTTGGCAGCTTTGACTGTGAGACAAAAACTGTTGAAGGAAGAAACATCAAAATAAAGAAGATGAACAAATATTAAGAAAACTGGGTGAGGAGGGTGAGGCTTGTGTGGCCAAACTATTAAAATCAGAGCTTCATAAGTGAAAAACAATCCGCTGCAGATGGACTGAACAATTATATGGCAAATTGAACAATTAAAGGATGTTCCCCCTTTTGGATTATGAGGCTGAAAGATGTGGAAAAGGAATTTGTTGGTCCAGCATTGTGGCCCCATTAACTTCTGTATCCAAAAAAATCATGTGTCTTTCACTTGTGACCAAGAGAAAACATATAATCGGTATGAAAGCATAGAAAATATAAATCACAGATCAGGAAATGAGGATCTTGACCATTTACTGGACAGGAAACAAAATCAGGACATTATTAATGCAACCACAAAACCTTTCAGCTTTGTCAAACAAGAGAAATTAAATTTCTTCAACAGAAATCCTCTGAAGTACCGTTTGGAACGAGATACTAGTGGCCATCTGCAGGTTGTTCTTCAGTCGCCGCATCTCAAGCCTGTCAAAGAGAGATCTGGGAATTACCAGATTTCACTTTAAAAAACTTCAGGTTCACAACCTTTTCTTTTGCAGATTCTCTATGCAATGCATGATGCAAACTACCTGGATGAGTTGAACATTTTAGCCAATATGACACTCAAGAAGTTGCCCTCTACACTTGGGGACAGTGCATCACATTAAGGATTTATCTGTAAAAGTTCTGAGCTCATGTTTGGGAATTTAATGCTTTGTCATTTTCAACAGGAAAACTAAGTGGTACATGGACTAAAAAGAGATGGAGACTTTGAACTGAAACTGATGGGAGTGTGGACAGCAACGTGGTCGCCATGTAACTGGACTCTAAAACACAGAGAAGCTGCGTACCGCAGCCCGTCCTCAAAACTGCACAACATTAGTTCAAGGAAATTGATAACAAGTTCAACAATGTGGTCTAAAGGTTCCACGGACATTGATCTACTCAGGAAAAACATGGTAGGTAGCCTACCAAAAAGGTAGGTGGTCAGGTTTTCTGGTCTATGATCGACGATATGCATGTCGTCAGTTATAAACGGTCATCTGAAGAAAGTTGTAGGCAACATTAAAATGATCAAATTAAAAATAAACAAAATCCAACAAAAACCCTCAAAGCAACTCAACCAATCAGAGAGTTTTCTGCTTCCTCAGCAGCTCTGTCTCTGATCTTTACTGCTTCATGTCTCTGTTGTCTTCAGTCCAAAGACTCAACAACCAGAGGATTAACAGGGAGTGAGGCCCTCTAGTGGCTGCTGTGGAGTACTGCAGGTTTTAGTGGTTTAACAGGGAGTGAGGCCCTCTAGTGGCCGCTGTGGAGTACTGCAGGATTTTGTACAGGGTTCTGGTGTTTCCTGTCACTGTGGGCTGCAGAGCGCAGTAGTACACAGCAGAGTCTGACAGACGGAGATCCTGGATCTTCAGGTTGAAGGATTTGTCGTTGATCTCTGCATTGAATCTGTTGCTGTCGAACTCTGGAGCTTTGTCTGGTACCTTCACATATTCTTTCAACATGTACTTTGGGAAACTGTTTTCTTCTTGTTTATACCAGAACAAGGCATAATTTGTACCACTGGCTTCAAAGGTACATCCCAGAGTCCGAGTTTCTCCTGCAGCAGCAACAACTTCTCTTTCTGTCTGCGTCACTGAGTCTCCTTTACACTCTGGGGAAGAACAGAACATGCAGAGGAAGAGATGGATCAATAAAGATGCTTGATTAAAGGAGAACAATCAGCAGCTTTCCAGACTTCTCCTCCATGTGGAGGAAACATGTTGATCTTTGTATCTTACCAGAGAAAAGAGCAGCCAGAATAATCCACAGCCAATGTTCCATCTGTCCAACAAGGTTTAAACCAGCAGGAGAAAGCAGCTGATGTTCAACATTCAGTCTGACTGTTGTTCTCTTCACAGCACCACTTCTTATTGACACGATGCTGGAGCACAGAGCACAAGGAGAGCGCCGCCTGCTGGAGCATGTCGCCCCCTGGTGGAGAGGAAGCAGGTTTGGTGGATCAGATGTTACAAACTCTGCTTGTTACAAATCTTAGAAAAAAGTGACCCAGTCTGCATGTCCAGCAGGAGACGGTTAAGATTCTGTGATTTAGTCCAGAAGGATGGATTTAAATTCTCCTTCCAGCTGATTGAAGCTGATTTAGTAAAACAATTAATGTTCTCCTGACCTCACTTCAGTAGTTAATAGGTACACCCTTCTGTCAAAATTTGACTGGTGGACGGGACTTTCCTGTTGGGGGGGGTTAAGTGGGGAATGTGTGAGTGGAGGTTTATATGTTAATGAATTTCACACTTCAGACCACAGCGGGTGGTAGCTCCTCTCATTGTCATGAAATCCAGGACATTCATGAATTATCGGTTGAAGCAGAGTAGGGGGTCTGCTGTTGCCCACTCGGTACTTTATCGTTTTCTCCAAGTAGCACTAGAAGAAAAGTATCAAGATGTGCAAAACTGAGAAACTATTGATCAACCAACTGCACGTTAAAATATGTCACAGGAGGTTTGTTCTCCTGTCCACATGAGGAATCGTTAGCTCACTGTGTCAGTCAAGGCTATCGCATGGGGATGGGGTAGCTGTTCAAGGAGAGTTAAAGGAGCAGAGTGAAATATGTTTCTGTATTTTGAAGATCATAGTCAGATTAACTGAAATGTGATTAAACTCAAAGCAATCAAAAATATTTATATTTTCTTTAACAGGTAATCTCTCCTCATCAGGGAGCCTAAACTGTCTGAATGGAATGATTGAAATATACTATGAAATATTTAATTTTCTGAATCCTGATAATGCAACTTCAATTGTGAATTGAATGATTATATTGCATCTAGACACAAACGAATTGATAGTTGTACTATGGAAATGACTAACAAGATCTGAACAAGACACTTGACTACCTCAAGGGATTTGTTAGGTTAGAGAATGAACCGTCTCTTTAGCCGACTAAATTTAATCTTACCAAAGTTTTGCCTGAGAGCAAACAGGTACTGAGGCCTCCAGCCGTCTGCTAAAGCTGGACTCCAGCCTTCCTCACGGTAAAATAAAACATTACATTTAAAAAAAAGAGTTTAAGTGAACATCACTTAATTATCATCAACTTGTTGTTTGTACTCATCTGAACCCTTGTGCGTGTGAGGACAGAAGCAAACTTAGAGGACTGAGGCAAATGGTACAAGTTTTATGTGTGTGGGGTCGGTTGGAGCCCATTTGTAAACACAAGGGCCCTAGGAGTCGCTGCCCGCCGTGCGGCGTACAAGCATGTGACGCATTAATAAGGCTTCGTAATAACATGGACGCATACCGAGTTTTCATTTCGACTCTGTTGGACAGCACGGACTTCAAACTTTATAAAAGTGGTGTTTTTATATTGGTTTTGTGGTTATTTACTTCAAAATAAAGCCAGAAATAAGATTGATAATTTCCGCCTTATTTTGTGGGGTCTAAATGTACCACATTTCGAAACAACCAATGAAAATGTGTTGACGGTCTGTTGCTAGGTAGAATGGAGACACGAAGAGAGAGACGAGGGGATGGGGGGGTTTGGATACGGCAAGAGGCTAGGGCGCAGCGATGCTGTGGATTTTACTAGGTTTTTTAGACTATAAGTGTGTTGTTAGAGTTCGTGGTGTGTGGCCATTTAGACCTCGTCTTCAAAGCAGGAACTTTTGGATATATAAACAAATGTTTGATAGGTTTGTGAATATTTTCACAGGGCTTGATGGTCTTTATCAAGCTTTGAATGCAGCGTCTGGTTTCCGTTACTCTAACCTGCCCAACTAGCACCTGATTGGCATGTCAGCCTCTTGATTCCCCCCCAGTGAGGCGGTGCTTCACTAAGCTGTTTGTCAAACTGCTGCTCTGCCTCATGGTTGTTTCAGAAGATGAGGAAACTTGGTGACTGACTTTTAGACTCCAGTAGCCAGTCATGCAGCTTTTACTAGATGGCAGATCTAAAAGTCCATAGCTTTAAAATATGAATAAATACATACAATTCCATAATTCTTTGATCCAACAGTGACAGAAGTTTGGTAATAATGAAAATATTTGGTCACATTTGCCCCACATTCCCTCCTAATTCAGGGATTGTGGTTTCTTGATGTCAGTGTTTCTGCTACTGGACAAGAAATAAGAGGATTTAGAAAGAAAAATACTAAGATGATAGTTGTACTTAGTGGGAGAAAGACTATGACTAGTTATCAGGACAGAATGAGACCTGTAAAACTGTCGGGTCCATATGACCAAGGAGAGAACCGGTCATCTGCTCCAGCAATGTATCGCTCTGTAGGAAATATGTTTGGACACAAGGAGCAGGACCATCACAACATCAGATGTATTTTTCATCCTTATATCAGTGATTTAAAACTATTTTAAATGTTTGATTCCATGCAGTGACCAACAAAGTGGTGCATGAATGTAAAAGTCAATTATTTTCTTCACCAATAGAAAAGTTTAAAGTGTTTATTATAAGTAGGATTAACTGAGCTGGAGGAAAACTAAGGAGAAATAAATATTCATTGATACAGAACCGAATCAGCAAATATGAATTTATGTAACTATTGAAACCTTCAAGAGTCTTGTTGTGTAATGTTAAGAGAGGAGAAATTCTTGAACTTTAAAAACCTTTTGACT